AGTACAGCTCATAAACTGTGCCTCCTCCATGTTGGCGGACGGGAAATGGGCCGAACCAGAAGGTCAAAGTACATGATAAATAATTTGGGGGTTGAATAAGAGAGTTTCTGTCATGTTAGGTAGCTGTTATCATGACTGATGTTTGGTTATCGCTAGCGAGTGAACTGCTGACGTCTCTAACTCGAGTCGTGTTCCTGCGAGAATCAAGCTTTCAAAGTTCTGCAAACAACAAACCAGCTCAAATTATGTTGAGCAAACAGCTGCCTCCTGGGTAACTCAATCAGAATAATTCAATTCATTACTTCTCCAAACACACTGTGGCACTGTAAGTGAATTTGAAACGGTTAATTCAACACAACCGACAGGCGGCCAACACAAAGCTGCCTCTGTGTCACTGTGTGACAGGTAACGTTACACAGAATAAACAGATACAAACTGAGGATTCATAGATGTGGTTGGATTTACCCTCTGCATTGACTCTGGACTGGTCACTTCCTCTTTAAATGAAAGCAGCTGCGGCCTCGGCAGCCAGATTCATATCTGCAAACTCTCCTTGTTGGGAAATTCAGCTTGAATTTCTTCTATGAGAGGAGGTTGAAAGGCACTCGGAGGAAAAGTGGTGTGTAAACCTGAAAAGAAACAACACAGCTGGGCTGAATATGATCCGCAGGGATGTGGGAATAAGGACGAGCAGGTTGAAATCAGTTTTTCCAGTCGGGATCCTGTGCAACCATCACTTTCCTTCACGACATTGTTAAAATCACATCTGCTTCTGCTGAGGAAGATAAAACAGAGCCCCTGAAACACGATCCAGCTCTGTGGAGCTGGAGATACAGTCAGCTTCACTGTGTTTGTTTGGTTTGAAGAATAAGAACGACAAGGAGAGGCAGGAAATATGACGAGACATCAATGAATGGATCAGGACGAGGATGAGTCGATGTTTAGGTGTTTTTTCTCACTGAAGTGAATGTGAACCTTATTAATTATGACTGTTTTTTAAAGGAATGAAAGATTCAGAGGTTAACAAGTTAAAAGTTAATGAAATGTTTTCTCAGCTTGTCCCGAGATCATGTGAAGAGGAAGGTGTGTGATCACTCAGCAACAGAAGGAAGATAATAAAAACACGAGGATTTTTACTCCTCAGTCATTGAGACAGACTGAATATAAAGATGGACACCACGTCTCCTTTTCCTCTCACAATCCAGAAGTGACGTATCCTGGATATTTGGAGCCGTGAGTCTGCGCAGTTGTGGTTTGGGGATGGAGCCGTGGTGCAGAGATCCTGAAGTACCGTCTTTGACAAAAATATATTTACTTGGACTTTTTAGCTTGTTTAGACATTTAACATTTTGTTTGTTTGTGAGCAAGATTTTGCATAAACTATAGATTGGATTAAGACGAAACCTTGAAGAAGGGTGTTGTACGGATCAGGGAAGAACCCTTTCAATTTCAGGATTTCCTGAAAAGAACATGTGATGATGTTTCAGCTTTTGCTGCATGTGCATGTGGGCCTCAGTGTTTCCTCTCCTGTGCTGCAGCAGGCGGGTGGAGCTGTGTCAGAGGCAGATTGTGCTCGGAAAGGTTTTGCATTTTTCATTTTCATTCTTTTCTGTGAGTCGGGGGTGATGATATCTCCGGGTACGATTCTCTAGAGATGCTCTGCTCCTAAACCTTCTCTTTTACCTGCAATGACTGTTCCAGATTGTTTCTCCTTCTCTGCCTGACTTCTTTGCCTTTTTACTCTTTCTTTCCTCTTTTCTTTCTTCCTCTCTCAGCTCCAACATCCCCCCTCTTCCTGTAACAGTTTTTTTCCTCCCTTTTGATTCTGTTCTCTTATCATTTCTCTTTTCCCAGAAGGACACAGAGAATTAGAGCACAACTTCTGCTCACAGAAACCCGGACTGGAAAAGCTGTACTGTATGTTCATTAAAACCAGGAGGTGGCTCATCCATCACGTTCCGCTGTTTCTTCGTCATGTTGCAGTAAATTGCCCCATCTCCCCCTCCGTGCCCTCCCGTGTGCAGAAAGTGCAGATCTAGGTAGCATTCGGCCGACGGTGTAAACACTGAGTCTCGGGGGTTTCTCTTTGAGCAGGATCATTATTTTTATCACAGCTATCACAGTGTTCCTGTTCCAGTCACTGTGGTGGAAGAGATCAGGCCTCAGTCAGAGATGAGCGATCAGTGGACCGAGCAACGCACCACAGAGTTAGACATCCAGCAGATGTCAGGGAATATTGACTTTTTCGGTGTTATGAGAATAAACATTGACTTATTATCAACTTTTCAGTTGTTGCAGCATTAACGTTTGTTCGGATTTGATCACGTGTCAATGTAAATCCAATACTAAGCCTCTTTACGCTCTGGTTTTGGTCTCCAACCCCTCCAGTGGAAATGATCAGGCTCTAAATGCTTCACTACGTTCACCAGCTGCTAATTGTTGTTTGCTGCTGAGCAGGTTTATAGAGTTCTGACTTTTATGAGAGCGGTGAGACGAAACCTAAACAGTGCATGTGCTGCGGCTCTAAATGAGCTGAAACTCACCGTGAAGTCAAAGTAACTCTCAGCGTCAGATGATGGTTCTCTCAAGCTTATTATTACATTATTTACAGAAAGTGCTTTAATAATTTATGGATCAGCTCAGACGGATGCAGAACAAGGAGAAGACTCAGGAAACAAGCCGGGTGAGAAATCAGATTCTGAAACTTTAACGTGTTTACAGAGGATTCATCACATCACAGTTTACAGTGAGAACAGTTTACAGTTCTTGGTTTGTTTGGATGTAGATAGTTTGTGAATATGAAGACACCGAATACAGAAATAGACAGAAAGCAAACGTTTCCATTGCATAAACAAAAAACAGCACAAATCAACACACACACTGTGAAAGATAAAATGTTTTCAGTGCTGCCAACATTCCAGATGAGATTCCGAGACACGTCAATCTCAGGGACCGATATCTTCATCTCACAATCTCTTGCTGAGCGCGTACCTGTCGAACGGTGACATTTAAACATCAACAAACACACATTTCCTGCAGTTTGGTCATTTAGCTGGAAAGTGGAGATTTGGATCAGAGTGGTGAGTCACATCCTTCACAGAGTAAAACCTCCACGCTCACTGTGAACAACTGTTTCCTCCACTTCACTTGCTCCAGTTTGGAAAAAAAAGAAAGAAACTTTCCAAAGACTTGGTTGCAAGAATAAAACTTGTCCCATTACCTGATTTCCAAACATGCAATACAAACTGCATGTGGAACATAAATTAGCTGTGTGCATACTCTTCTCCATCTCCTCCTTGCATGACGGTGCGTCTGCATTGATCCAGGAGTGCATGTGAGAGAGAAAATTGCTCCTCTAATCGATTTCTGAGAACTTAAGATCCAGTTTTATCATCCTGGCTTCCTGGTAGCGTGCAGATTATGTCATCCGTGAGTCAGGATGTAGTCAGCCTCCCTCTGATCGTCACCCTCCACAGATGCAGTTGTGGTTTTAATCAAATCAAACCTGAAAATGGAAAGTGGTTTAATTTTGAGTCATTTCCTGGAAATGAAGAGTGGAATGATAATGTTTCAAATTTGGACTGGCTGCTCTCAGCCACAACACACACCTGCTTCCCTGTATCACGTCTTTGACCAACACACCCTATCAAACATATATCCTTCGCTCTGACTGTGAAGGTTATATATCATATAACGTAATCAGCCCAATTCATTGATTCTTACACCTCAGGCAGACGAGTCCAGAGGAAGAGAGAAAAAACACAAAGTGGAAAAAAGCTGCAGAAACACTGAGTCAAATGAGCTGAAAATCATTCAGCTGGAAGAGAAAGTGGAAAACTGCTCAGTGGTGCCTCGGCCTCATGCAGACCTGGATCAGAAAACACGTACAAATGAATCCTGGCGTTAGTTTTGCAGTCAGCAGCAGGTGGGCGGGGTTTCCCTGCATTCAGAAGCTTTAGTCATGAACTAAAATCAACCTTCTGCTGCTCTTTGGGGACAAACTGCTGCTCCTGGGTGTGAAACGCTCAGCCACGTCTGTCAACGGGAACATAAACCTGTCATGATCCTGTTCTCTCATCTGCAACATCTGATAATAATAAGAATCCTGCTGTTAACTGTGAGAGAACACACACACACACACACACACACA